TGTTGCACTCTAAGATGCTGTTTTATGTTAATAATGATGGATTACTATTTCTTATTTCATGGGCTAAATGGGCTAAATTAATGCAAATCAGGGTTGGGCCGAAAGAGCGTTTGGGTTAAACCTCTTCTCTGTCTCTGCTTCCACCCGCGGTGCGTTATCGTGGCAGCAGGTGCGCCCCATGCCGGCTTGTTAATGATGTAGCCTATCAAACAACCGGAACCAACATTTGCACTCTGTGTTCACTGTTGCTTTACCTGGTCAATGCCTGTAAAATCATGTCTGTGACTTAATAATATAATAGGCTACCAAGTTTTGCCAGTGAACACGTGCATTTATAAGACAACCGCTACCCCCCACGTAAATACAGAATATAGCAGGAGAGGCTTTTGTGTCAAAAAAAACTGTTGGGTAAGGTTTAACTTGCAATTTTCTTTTGCAAATCATAACTTAATGACTTGGCGCCTTTTGTAACTTGTGTGACTCTCATTGTTGATAATATAGGATTTGAGTCTTTTTGTCTTCCAAGGGGGAGGCATGACAGAAAGGGTTTGGGTACTGGTCTGGACTGTTTCCTATTCAAAAAATGGTTCTGCCTGAGCTTGTGGGTATATCTTTGGTGCAGCCCCTGAACTGGGACACAACTCGTCGCACCTGTTCAATGAATGGTAGGACCGTCTCCAACCCATAACAGGATAAGCAGGTATATAATGGATGGATGGATGGATGGGTATAAATAACCACATGGCCTTCTCTCCAATTTGACATCTGGCCAAGGGACAACAATTGAAAATGTCCCTTTTGGCTAACACTGGCACATTTACAGTGATGCTAATCAATGTGCATTGTCCCTAATTTTAAAAATTCCACCCTTAAGATAAACTTTGCATTTATAGTCATACTGGTAAGGCTGTAAGACGAGCAAAAATGTTGCTCATTCCATCTAATACTCACACTATGTTTTGTGAAATGTAATGGACATTGCAGCATCTAGGCGTCGCTGGAGGGGCTTTTAGTCTTGTTCCATTAGGATTCAGTTTCCTGTAAGAGGCCCTGGGGAGAGACTGTCTCTCAGACATGGATCACTCTATTATATGTGGTTGGTTGATGGGTTGTTTCTTCAGGTCTACTTCAGTTAGATTATAGTTGACCTGTAGATAGTAAGTTACTGTGTAACCCTGAAATTAATTTCGGTTAACAAGAAAACAGCATGCAAATATCTGCTCCCTCCATCTGTCTCTTATTCTGTGTCTGTGTGTGCTGTCCCGCGCACACACAGACACACAAACAAATAAGTAGTACTGGTATGTTTGCTATGCTGTCTCAGTTTTGAAGACCCCTCAAATGTCCTGAAAGATTCATGAAAAAACAATGACAGCTGTCTTGGATTTGCATACTTTTGGCAGCTAACATTGGCATTAACACCTCTAATTTGAATACTCATCTGTCACGGATTGTTGACAATTAATTAAACATTGATTCCTGAAGGCTATGCGCCTTTAAGGTAGCTGAGAAGCATCCGTGCAGTTACTTTTGCAGAAGGCAGTGCTAGCAACCACATAAGGAAAGAGGAAGCTCAAAAATCCCTATTGTCATTGTCTGACAAGAATAGATAAGATGTATACAGACCGATTTTGACATGTCAGTGAAAAGCTGTACATCAGATATCTGTCTGGGCTTTGTTAGTAGCCAGGGGAAAATATAAAGACACAAAAAGCAAACTCAGTTAAAAGGCATTTCTTAAAAGCTACACAAGCCAAGATTTTTATGAAAAATGTTTTTGTCTAATGTACGTGGTAGGAACAAAAGAGAAGAGCATTTCAGCCTCACAAACTGCATTTTTGTCCTAATGAAATTAAGTTATAAAGTAAGGACAACTCTGTCACTGGGAAGGACAAACTGAAATTTAAGAGTAAATGCCAGCGAACAAACACTCCCATCCAATCAGAGAACATAAGGCCCCATACTTTGAGGGTGGTTGCCTTATTTGATATGAACAGTAAACAGCAGTATAAGCAAAACAAGGTGGTATAAAAATTAAAAATATTGAGCTGTGTAGGTCGTCTGTGTACCAGCCATACAAACAACCAATATTATAAACCTTTTAACATTTAAACAAAGCTTTATTTAGCAGATCAATACACTTTTAGTTCAGCCATGAGTTTCACCAGTCTATAAACAAAACACATTTACTCGAGCACAAAATAAACACTCGTTAAATAAAAGCAGCCGTGTCTTCTACACCTTCAAACAGGCTCTCTACAGTATTTTGTCTGCCAGTTGGCTGCCACAAGTTATAATTCACAAGTCAAAGGTGGTGAAATATTCACAGCACAGTGAGGTATAGATCTTTTCTCTTTCACCTATCCCTTTGGCACATACTGGTAAAAAGCATGCTGTGCAAAGTTCAGTGAAATCCTCTCAGGATTTCTCTAATTCACATTTTCAGCTACTTTTGGGGTCAATGATGCGAAAATATTTAAGTAATATGCAAATTTAAATAAAGTTGCAAAGATGGTTTTATCTTTTCTCACATGGACGACCGTAATGCACTTTGGGAGAATTACTGCTGCGGAGAGCTTTTGTGAAAGCTTTACATATGTTTCTGTTTTTACTGTTGCACCCTTGCTACTTTATGTTTTCCATTTGCTATTGCGAAATTATCTTTTATTCACCTCGCGTTTCATGTTTTGATTGCTGTTATTGCTTTCCTTTGCTTTTGCCTCTGTTTTTATGGCTAATGCTGTATGTTTTTTCCTTGAAAAAGCACTTTCTAACCTTTTTAAGTAATATTTAAATGAAGATTATTATCACCACTAAAGCTGTAAAAGTAGTGCAGTTCTAAGATGTAAGCATGCACATTCCCCTCAATTAAATGGCCACTAAAATTGTTTCTTTGCACCTGGCTAACATCAAATGTGTCAGCATAAGACATATAAAGGTATGTTGATCCCCTAAGGGATTAATATGCTTGCAGTAGTAAGTAAGAGCACAAGCAAGGAAGCAATACAAGGAAATTTAAATACCTGGTGAGATTCTGTTCTCCAAATGTGTTTTGAATATAAATGATTGGTATTGGCACCAATACAGATGTCTCCACTTATAAGACATGTGTGTAGCTACAGTCTCATGTTAAACATAAATGAATGGTCCTAAACAGTTTCTCTCAGATTGGTACTCGGTACTGGTCGATAGCCAGTAGTTCAAGTATCAGCATCAGTCTCAGTAGAGTTGGGATTGGTGCATCTCTATATAAAAGCCCACTTGGCAGGGTGCTACAGGATGAGCTACACTGAATGCTCGCTCCTCATGGCCTCATATCATCAGCAGCCACAACATGTCCTTGGTTTGACTCTGCTACTCATCACCAGTCCATTACTTTTCCTTCCAAGATAACACCTCCAGTGTAATTAAGTGCCGTAAGTAAATCTTCCTCCTCGGCCAAAACGAGCCCAGTGTGGAGACCTTCGTCAATATTTCAAGTCATTAAATGAAAGGGTTTTCAATACCGTCCTCCACTGCAAGGAAATTGTTGGCCTTATTGTACATAAATTAAAAACCATCCTTTGACTGTTATGACTTTGCAGTGTGGCCATGCATGCACGGGCCAACCCAGTATCTTGGGAGTTATGTCCATTTATATATCTAATACTAGTGTTCAGAGCCATTGCAGGAAATGGTGTCCTCTATGTAGAAATTGGTAGAAAGTCCATAGAGGCTGGGGTGGTGGACGGGCATATAGTACGTCCATATTTCCTGTAGAGTAAATGTAAGCACAACCTTCCTCTAACCTATCCTAACCTAACCAAGTGTTTCTGTTGCATAACCATAACCTTAACCATCCTATAGTCACCATGCACAGATAGTAAAGAAAGCGAGAATATGTTAAATGTTGCCAATGGACATAAAAAACAAAACACTGGCATTGAACTTCATCTGTGATTTTGCCAAATCGGCCAAAACTGATGTTCTTGTCTGGAGAACAGGGTTGCATGGGCACATGCACAGCCCTGGGAATTTACATGAAAAAGCCTGCAAATCACTCAACCCCACGATTCCGTCACTGTCCCTCACTGTCTCTTTATTGCACCAACCCAGTCCCACAGTAAATGAACCCTGCACAAATGCTGCAACACACACACAAACTCCCCTCGCATGCAGTCCTCTCCCTTTCTCATATTATTTCTACCACACATGCACCTTAAGCACACTTTATACAGTGATGTGGGTTTGATCTTCCATATGCTGGCAAGGAAAGCTCCTTAAGTGGACCTGCTGCTGGTCAAAGAACCATTTCACTGCAGCAAAAGAGATCCCCAGGTGAATTCCAGCAGGTATTTGGAGGGCATGATGCTTACTTTTAGTAAAGTCCACACAGGATGGGAAGTTCAATTTTGAGCAAATACAGTATGTGGATATACTGAACATTCGCAAACACATATGCAACCACTAGAGAGCCTGCACAGCCCTCCAGAAGAAGAGGAATCTCCTCACCATCACTCCCTCTTGGTGAGCCAGGTCTGGTAAAGATCCTGGCAATAGCCAGGCAATACAAATCACTCTATATTTGTTTTTGTTTTCTCTTTTACATGATCATGTGCAGTAATCACTGTCTTCTCTGAGAGGGAAGCATTAAAGAAAAGCTGTGATTGGATCTAACTGGACAGACACATTAATAAAAAAAAATTAAGATACAGATGCATTATGCTTTAGTCTATGGGATCATCCAGTCCTGACTTTATCATATCATGAAAATAGTTATGATCAACACAATGGTGGAGGCAAAGTGGGCGCTCTGCTTTGATTTACAAATATACCGTGACAACGTCAAAAGCCAATTAAGATGACAACAGCATATTTATGTCACATCAATTAAACCTAATGCGCACATATCGCATAAAGCGCCTGTCTAGAAACTACTTCCCAATTTCAGTCCATGAATTCAGAAACTGCACGCCAGCCTGTCCCTCAATTAATGTCCAACCGGCAAAATATTAACTTACCCGGCTTCCGTTGCAGAGATTAAATGACAGAAGAAACCAGGCTGTGCCAGAAGGATATTATATTTCCTATTAGCCCATTCACAGCTCAGCGACGTTCACGCCGACACCCGTTACTGTGTCGACGGAGAAGGAGGCGCGCCCGCGGGAGCGCGCTTCTTGGCTATAGAGCTCAGAGGCGCGTCAGTAAGGAGGAGGTGTGAAGGCAAGATAAGAGTAATTACAGCCCTCCAGTAACCAGGGCTAATAAGGAGACAAGCATGTTCCTTAACAAGTCAATATATAACATTTTCTGTAGCCTAATAGCCTTCTTAATCAGAAAGATCATAAATGTGGCATATGTGTCTGTGTCATTCATTGTGACCTTATTCTAATCTCGCAATATATTATTCATGAAGCCAAATTTGGGATCCCATATGGTGGAAATGGGTTAAAAAGAGGTGTTAAAAGGGGGCATTCAGTACAGCTTAATATCTATATGCAGTCACACACAATACTAAACAATGATTTTTGATCAAACTATTGAAACCACTTTCTATACAGAAATTCTCATGTTTTTGTGATGAGTATTTAAATATGAAAAAAAGTTATGAATCTAATATGTGTTATAGTATCCAGTGGTACAATGTCTTTTTATGAGTGTTCTGACTAGCTGACCTTTCAGGATTATGCCGAAACATTTCTGAGAATAAATTGAGCCACTTTTTCATAATGTGTCACAATGGAAGGGGGGGTAAATATTCAAAACCTTTACCAAGTGTTTCACTCAGTTATTTCAGTTATTGTGCACATTTGGACCTATATTTGTGTCAAACATATGAAGAGGTACATGAAATTATATATAGAAGAGGCTGTGTGAATATAAAGCAACAGTGTCCGAAATGTGCACCTTGCTCACATTAACAAGTTAGTTCACAGTATCACAGTGACACATTCATTTATTTTACAGAGAATGTGTGAAATCTGTGCAGACTTCGTTTAAGAGTTGAAACAACTATGGTAAGTACCAGAAAATCCTTTAATGTAAAACGAGCCGGTGGATGTAATTTTGGCTATATTAGGTTTTTGGATGATGGTCACAATTAGGGACTTGGAAAACACTGGTTATAAAATGAGCTGGCTCCTGATCTCAAGTTGGAGGTGTTGCGTTCCATTTTCCATCAATCTCCCAACTCACCTCCCTCTGAGCACTGCCACACGGTGCTGTTTATTTAGCTGGGTGTTATGTAAATGTGTAGTCACGTTGCTTCCTGTAATAAATCATTGATTGATGTTCAAATTCCCTTGACTGATTGACTGTTAGGAGATTGGTTTTAGCATGCTGTGGACTAGATAACAAATGTGGACTATCGGATGGGCGGGCTGATGTGTGTCGACAATTGACAAGAGAGAGGTCAAAACACAACCGACGGTGTGTTTGATAACGGTGAACCTCCATTTATCCTTGGTGAAATGTTTTCACTCGGTGAGATTTTGCTCTGTTTAATTTAAAAAAACATCTTAAGGCTGGAAACGAAAGTAAATGTGTTATTAGGATATTTTCTGCATTGCAGTCACTTGTCGTGGCTATAGTGATGAAGCAGTATGATGGCTGCTGCCTACAACAACACTTCAGTGAAGCTCAAGCTTAAATTAGTCACTGCGAACAAAACGCCTGCTGCCAAATGATGAGAAAACTCCATTTAATCAAGTATTGACAGAGAAAAAGTTCACATCAGGATAGAAAGTGACTCTTGGGAAAATGTTCAGTTTCTTCAGTCTTAATATGAAACTGTGAAGCGCGAGTGGCTCTTTGAGGGCTGTGGTTGAACAACATTCAAAACAAAGTTACAAGCTATATAGAATGATGTGGACAAAACATATGCCTGCATGCACACAAAAGTTATTACAGCAGTACATGAGCTTCTAGCTAACCTCAGTTAAAAAAAAAAAGATGGAGTCCTCCTTCCTGAAATACATCTGCTACAGTTGCTCTTGGGCTCCTCGTCTAGTAGCTGTACAGTGGGCGGTAAGAGCCCTTATGTTCCCTGGGAGAATTGTGCTTGAGTAACTCTGGGAAGTCACAACGCTATCATAATGGAAATTTGCTTTTTCTTCATGAAATATGCCCCTTGTTTTTATAGGATCACTGAAAAACTTAACCCAATTTTCTCACGGGAAAAGTCACATGTGAGATGTGTAGCTGTAACTTTTAACTCTGTGAGCAAATTGTGGTTTGAATGCACAGTTATGTTGTTTTTGTGGTAAATGCTTACACTAACAATATATGTTTATTGGACTGCAGCCACTGCTATTTGAAAACTTTAACTTAGGCATCAGGGACTCTGTGTTTGAAGTGCAATTAAAAGCTATAGGATTTATCACCTCTGCCAGGAAATAATGCCACAGAAATGTGTTGCCTTACAAACTTTCTTCTCACATCTATGTGTCACATCTAGGAACATTTTTGTTTGCTGGGTAAGGAAATATTTCAAGCAAGGTTTTACACTATTAATGTTACATTTCAAACATGACAAAAATCAACTAAAAGCTAAAAATGGCAATTAAAATTTGTACAGCAATTAAAGGGTATAAGCTGTAAGGACTCCTCATTCTTCTTTAAATTAGACTTGAATTTTGCGTTGTGTGTTATTTATAACGTTACTTTAATCATCAACATCAACTTCAAACACAGCTGCATGAAATAGCAGATCAGGTCTTCTCATGCGTAGTTAGCCTGCATGAGGTATTTACATTTGAAAGGTTAGTACATGCATGGGGTATTATGTGCTCATTAAGTGCAGAGAAAAGTGAAGGTGGAGAGTGGAAAAACCGTATAGCTAACTTAAACCAAATGCTTTTGGTTGCTTTTATCCATCTAAATTAGCTGCAGTCAGTAGGTTTAAGCATATTCAAATGGCAGCAAAGATGAAGAAGCGCCTGGCATTTGTGAGTTTTTTCATCTTGTTGTTTGTTAGCAGGCAGGCAGTTAAAATATCATCAACCCACCAAGTAACAAAGTGAATTTCAGTACAATGGAAACCTCTAGTGCTCACATCTGTCTGAGTCAAAATGATCACTGCATGCGGATTATTATTATAACCAATTTTCTCATGCATACATTTGAATATTTCTGACATTAACATAAATTAATGAAACAGACAGCTTCCATATTTACTGAATTTTTATTGACAGGTTTAAAAATACAGTACAACCGTTTCTAATACTTTTGAAATAGTTGTAAAAGTTAAACTACTCTACGTGTAATACAGAACATTACTGTATGTAAAAATATAACTTACTGTATTTCAAATTATAATTAGGCTATAGAGCAATACTGTGCTGTTTCCAAATACAGTAATATCACTAGTGCAAATAGGCTACAAATCTGTAGCCGAACTGGTAGCAGAGTTTGAAAACAAACATATTCATAAAATAAAATATTCAGGGTTTTTCTATAGCATGGAGCATAAAACGACTCATATGAACACTGTAAGCAGACTATATGATTACTTTAGGGGATTTATTTAAACAGCATTATTATAGGAATGATTCTGGCCCAAGCTCTTTGATCCATACAAGCGGTTGATCACCACAAGCACTATATAATGCACTGAAAATATTGTTAGATAGCAGTCATTTTCATCAGGACAACCGCAACCCAACAGGAGTATTTGGAGCAATGCGTCATTTTGCGTACACCATGTTCTGAAATACAGGTAGCAGGCTAGTGTGCCATGTTCATGTTAAGTAATCACCTTCCAGTATATTATGTGAGGAACACAGATTGTTTATAGGAAAAGGTGCAGTAAAACACTGCATGAAAGATTCATGTCCTGTCAGGATTTCTGGATATAACTTTCCCGCAAGGATGGAAACCTGCATGTTGGGTTTCCCTCTTGGCTGACACCAAGAGATAAAATTGTAGGGTGTGCTCAAGCTAATAAAACGATCAAATCTAACAATATCGGATATAAAATGTAACATGTGCCTGCACCCTCTCTTCTGAGGTCCTGGACATGCAGTTGTGCGAAGTAAATAATAATGTTATGCTTTGTGAAGTCATGAAATGGAAAGTGAGAATTTTGAGCTCACTGCAAGTTGGCAGAAGCTTAACCCAATTTGAAGAGGGACCTTGTCCGACTGATTTTCACCTCACAAACCGTAGTTCCAATTGCTAATATCTCCAAAATGCTTCTGATCACCTTCCCATCTGTATTGTTTCACTCCATTTCATTTTGGAATACTGAAGTTTTATAGTCAAAACAAGGTTTAATTTTCATTCAGTGATACAAAGAGACATAATCAGGGTCCCTTAATACAGAAATTATAATCAACCGTTTTGTTGTTAATTGGCAATGACGGGGTTTTTTGTTAATGCTGCCATGCTTGTTAAGAATTATAATTTGCAAATAAAATATAATTTAGCATTTTTGAATTTTTAATGTTTACTGATAAATTAGTCAAACATTTCATCCTGCATTTGTCATGATGTCTAGTATCCATGTGTTTCCTTCAACCACAGTAAAATGAAAATACAGGATTTGCTTGTCAACTATTGTACATCCTATTTTACTCACCTCTTTTATGTCGTCATGCAAGTTATGTAATAAGGTCGGGAGATACAAACTCTTGAAATATTCTGCAAGACCATGGAACTGGTGTGTGTTGTCTGCTTTTCATTTAGCTGAATTTCTAAATAGCTGAGAATAACAAGGGATTACATCAGTATGGCCTTCTCACTGAAAATCTTATGTTTTATTCAGTGTTGTTTTTGTGACCACATATTGTGTTTGTCTTGTTGGAAAGATTTGAAACAGGGGGAGACAAAAAAACCCCCAGAGGAATTGTCTCACGCTGTGCATGTATTAGAGCAATTTAGTTCAATACAGATTGAGAATGTTTTATATAAATAGCTGGAATCACACAATGGCAACTGATCTGATATAAGAGATAGCAAAAACCTTAATTGCAAGCCATTAAACACGTTCTTATCTACTTACCTTCCCAATGGAGAGATATCAATTCAGAAATAATTTATAATATAAGCATGGAATGGTCTCATATACTACATACATTCTCCATTCCTTTTCCTGAGATGCAAATGATAGGTTCTTCGACTAGTCTTATGCTCATGTTTGACACTTAT